AGACTTTGATGCATGTCAGTTGTAAGCAGGTGAAAAACAGTCACTGGTCTCTCCTAAGGGTGCTGAACTCCATCTTTTTATCATAGTTTTTTTAACGAGAGCATATTATTCTGTGAATTATTCTGTGAATTATTTTCCATCTGGCCCTTCCCCTAGAGAGTCACAAAGAACCACGGAATTGATAGGGTTGGAAGGACCTCTGGAGATCATCCAGTTCAACCCCCCTCTCCCAAGGCAGGGTCACCTGGAGGAGGTGACACAGGAACACGTCCAGGTGGGTTTGGGATGTCTCCAGAGAGGGAGACTCCATGCCCTCCCTGTGTAGCCTGTTCCAGGGCTCTGCCCTCCTCAACGTAAAGTTCTTCCTCACGTTGAGATGGAACTTCTTGTGTTTTAGTTTATGGCTGTTGCTCCTTGTCCTGTCAGTGGACACCATTGGAAAGAGTCTGGCACCATCCTCTGACACCCCCTTGGAGATGTTTATTTGTATTGATAGAAGAAATGGTGCATTTACCTACATGTCTCAGTGGTTAAGGACCTGCTCGAAGGAGGCTGACAGGAGGCTGTGATTGCATCTCATGTTTTATCCATCTTGTGCTGATCCACAGGTTCTGTTTTCTCTCAAGTCAAACATTGATACGTAGTTTAGGAGGCTTCAGTAGTTTTTGAAAAGTCACTGTAGGTTTGTTATGCATTTTGGTTGTAGCAGTGTAGGCTTGGAGAGCTTTTAATTATTGTCTTACTTGTTCTAATGCTGTTGGTTATGGGGGGCTACCAGTGAACTGATCCAGTTAAATAATCCTTTTTTCTGGTTATTAATAACTCAGATCAGTTCTGTCATTCAGTTGGCTGTAGTATTCTAAAAGTGCTTGTGTCAGCACAAACAAGAGGCAGTGTTTGGGAATGTTTCTGAATCAGCAGTGCCATGGAACTGTAGCAAAAACTGTTCCTTTTCATTTTTAAATGGCAAGGCCCTGCCTTGATGCTGCCCTGAGACTGCTTTGAGTCTTTTAACATCTTTTTCTACTCTCCAGTGCCCACTGGAGAGATTTTCGTTGGCCAGCATAACTTCTTGGTTAATTCATGTGTTTATAAAACACAAATTTGGAGTCAGTAACTGGGTCTCAACTGCACGTGGCAGATAATAAGTGTGTTACTAGTGGGGAACATCTGGGCCCAGATGTGGCAGCCATGCATTTGTAGAGTCGGTCCAAGATGAGTGTCTGTTATCTCACTGTGAGTGTGGCCACTTGTTAGATGGGACAGGTGCATTTTTCTGGCCCTGTGTTTGCAGATAAAGTGTCGCTGTGACGGGCTGGGCTGTATCTTCCTACTGGATGTGCTGCCTGCACCCTTAAAGGTGGAGAAAAGGGCTTTGTGTGGACTTGGCCTGAAATGCCTGGAGAACAGAACTCACGGAATGGTGGAGATCTGTTTCCATCTGCTACTTCAAGAGACTATAAACCAGTTGTTTGATAGAAGGCCTGTGAGATGGGTGGAGTCTTCCTCATTGGTTAAATTTTTTTTTTTTTTTGCTTGATTGCTCAAAACAGACAAGACGAAAGTCTCCAATATGCTTATTCATATCAGTTACCTAAAAAGGTACATAGAGATGTACTTTTGCCTTCTGAGTTACCTGTTGTCAAAATGTATATGGCACACTGTTTTATAAAACAGAATTGAACTGTTTTTCAGCCTTAAACAGTGCATGTAAGTAGCAGAATGTACAATAAAAGCTTGACAATTTTCCTAAATTGCGTAAGCGTGGAAAATGGAAAGAGGTATTTGAGCCATCTAGTGGTTGGTATGAAACATTTTAACATTTTTTCATAGAAAATGTAAATGATGTCAGCTTGAAAATAGCATTTCTGATTTCTCTGCTTCTGGAAGCATGACTGTAGAATGAAAAAATCCAAACATTCAGCTTCAGATTTGAAGCACGGTCTGTTTTGGTTTGTATCTTTTTTTTATTCTAGATTTTAGTGAAAAATATCAGATAACATAAAAATTAAATTAGAAGTTCATAGCCAAAGAATGAGTTTTGCTAGCATGAAGTCTTTAGAAATTGTGTGGATTGTCAAGAAATTCAAGCAAAGGCTTGTAATAAGATAATTTTGTTCTCTACTTCTCACTGAAAAAAATGTTTGGAGGGAAAAAACTTGGCTTAAATTCTGCCTCACCAGCTGTTTTTAGCAGGGACAAAATTACAAGAGTAATCTTTACTGGAACACGTGGAATGGATAATTGCTTGTGAGAAACTTGTCAAATAAAACTAACAGAGGCAACTGAGAAGAGATTTCTTAAGATGGGCTGTGTTGCTTTTAAACAGTCACAGAATCTTATGATTTTAAGATAAAGGACATTTTGCAGATGAAAATTTTATGTAGTGGTCTTGCTCGGTCCTGATCTGCATTAAGCTGTTGTAGCCTTTCATAGTGGCTGTTGCCAGTAGGAACTTGACTGCCTGTTGAACTTGGTATTGTGCAAAAGTAGTGAACTTCATGTGTATCTCCCCTTGAATTATTTGTGGGAAGGTACTGCCATGCATTGGAACACTGTGGTGCCTCCCAGTCCTTGTGAAAGTCCTGTTCCAGGTTCAAACGCAGTTTAAAAGATATTTTTTAATGTTAGTTTTTTAGATTGGTCTTAATATTATCAACAAGCAGTACTTATGGTGTTGCATGGGGTTAGAGCATTAGTGTGTCAGAACAGATCAATTCATGATCCACACTGACACTTCAGAATTTGCACCTCTGCATTTGAGGTGAAGTTTTAAATCTTGCCCTGTTTTTCACTGAGAAGACAGTGGCAGCTTAACATATTTCTGAGGTCAGTCCCAAAAGGTTTCTAAGGCTAAAGGAGAGTGAGAGAAGAATGGGAAAACCAGCCACACAGGGAAGGACAGTGATGGTTTATTTGTATTTTAGTGGTGTGTGGTCCATCTGAAAGCTTTATGTGAACTTGATACATAAATTACATTTTGAAAAATCGCCTGCATCTTGGTTCTCTTGTGCCTTCAAAGTTGGTTATTATTAACCCTTAGGATCAAAATAGCATCAGGGAGATGCTTCTGAATCTCTAACTTGCTTGGACTGAATTGGGATAGATTCCATAAGGGGAAATCAAATTCTTTGCAGGTTGAAGAAGTTTTAGTGGTCTGGCATATTTTTGTTTGAATTTTGCAGGGTGGCAAAGGGGATTTTTGTGATCATTGTTATTCTCAATCTTGATGATGATCTAGACTGGACTGAGATTGGGGGATATCAGAGGGGATACTGGATGATTTGAAGTTCTGTTCCACAAATGAGCCTGACCCGAGCACAGTGAAGGTTCCTGGGGTGTGCTGTACTTTTTAGGCTTCCATGCTGCACATGTGAAAATCTATTTTACTTCCTCATTTAAAATTACTTTTAAATCATGGTATTCCACATGCTCAGCTTTTGAGCTTGCCTTCCACCTTGTCTGTTGTTCCCAGAGCACCCTTGGAAAGTGGAAAAAACATGGAAGTTCTTTTATCTTTATGATGTCCGTGTTGTGTTTCTGTTGAATCAAACAGGAATGTGGTTTTACGGTTGTATTAAAGTGTCATCCTCTATTGTTTATGCACTTGCCCCTCCACTTCTCCTGATCACGTGTCCCAGTGCTCTGATTGCCGTGGTATCTGGTCATACCACAGCATTTTCTTGGAAGCTGCCCATTGCCAAAGCCATGATCCAGCTGTATTTGTGAAAGGATCTTTGGCACTTCCCCTGGTTTTAATTTGCACTTAGAAGATGCAAATGAGGAATAATGAAACTGTCATATTAGGTCCTGTTTCTGATGAATGCTGTATTTTGAATTGTCTTCTGGCTACCACTTGTTTTATAGGTGAAATTTGGTTATAACTTTCATATCGGGATTGGTTTTAAGGCAAAACTAGGATTCCTTGTTTGGAATTGCTTATAAATCTGACTTGTTGAAGTGTGTGCAGCTGGAAGAGGGATTATCTGGAAGTACAGTCTTCAACAATGGAAACTCCAGCTCTTGTCCATGTGTCAGAGCTTTGGGATCTATACCTGCTCTTTCAGAATCATAATTGTATATAAGAAAAGCCTAAAAATGTTCATAGGCAGCATGTGCATTGTTATCTCCTGTAAATAATAGAATAGCTCTGCTAAATAGAAAACAACTGTGCTGTGGCCTAACTTTGCAAAAGAAAAAGCAATTTGTTTGTTTTTCAGAATTCAGGAAATATATATTAATTATTTATAGAACTGGATAGTTAAACATTCATTAAAAGTCATTAGTAATTTCACTTTAGAAGCAAATCACAGTTTTCTGTGAAAAGAAAATGGAGGGAAAATGGGTTTCCAGAAGGGGAATGTTGTTTGTTGTTTTGGTTTTTTTCTTCCCTTCAGCAGAATAGGGAGATAGGAAATAGAAATTTGATTAATGATGAAGAAATATGATTGTCATAGGTTTGAAGCTGATGGTCTGTATTTTTTGATATTCAGAAAAGTGACATTTCCTTAAGCATATTTTCAGATTCATTTAATTAATGTTCTACATTAGACACTGAAATTACAGTGTGTAGCTTTGTTTACTTTTGTGTGAGTATAAATTATTATGACTATGAAATGGTGTTTGGTAATAAATTTTTTATTATTATTATATTAAATTGCCAAATATTTCCACTTCATCATTTCCTTCTCTGCTTTTGGACAAGCAGAACAGAGCAGATCGCTTTCTCTGATGTAAAAGTACTTGAATATTATTGTTACTTTTCCTCCAAAAATATCCCCTTTTTTGTGATCATGGAGAATCACTTTTTTTTTTTTTTTTTAATGTCTTCCCATCTTTTCATTCTTTCCTTTTGGTTCTTCGTGTTCAAGGTGAATTTTAAATACACTTATCTTATAATGGAAATAGAATGTCAAAGGATGAATAAAACGCTGGAAACTGAATCTTAGAGCATATGGTTGTCTAATCCGGGGTTTAAACATTGTTTCTTTCCTTTACAGAATGCTGCCTTTTTATATGGCCTTGGTTTGGTCTACTTCCATTACAATGCCTTTCAATGGTAAGTTGGAACAAACTGATAGTTTCTGTGGGGTTTCATGGGTGTGTGAGTATTTCACCTTCAGTTCAGCGTGAGTGTACCATAGTTTAATTTTGGTTTTATTATAGATTCGATGTTTGCAGGTGAAACTGTCCTGGGTCTCATACCTGACTTGGGGCAGCTACAGCAGTTGCTTGAAAAGGAAAATCACTGACAGGAGAACTTTAGCTCCCTGTAACACCCTTCAGCAAAGGGGATGGAGCAGAATGACTCAACAGGCTTTTGTGAATTGTTGTTATCAGTAGTCTGTAGCCTGTGCATGTTGGAAAGCCTGTTTACAAAAAAAACTTTCCTCTTGGAAAAGAGGTGGCAAAATGGGCTTGTTTTGATTGCACTTGGTAGTCAGAAATTTTTACATAACGCATCAGGTGAGAGTTTTGGACGTGAGAAGCAGCACACACCCTTGAATCAGAGTGCTTAAAACTGACGTAAAAACTGAGAATTAAAGAGTTGTAATTTCTGTCATGGCTTTGGGGACTGAGCAGGGCTGCTGGGCGTGGGGAGAGTTGGTTTTCAGTTGGGCTTTTGGTTTTGCTTTATCTGTGATGAGAGTGGTGAATGGTGAACAGAATGGACTCCGTCACTGGAGTTCTACTGAAAGGTCCTCAAACTTTCATTGGGGTTTATTCCTGCAGGGAATAAAGTCAGTGTCATTGCAAAAATGTCAGAAGGGTGTAGTGTTTATATCAGTGCTTTGTTACACACTGTTAGTACAGTAAGAGTGACTTTACTGCTTGATTGATTACTGAAAAGGTTCATTGTCTCACTGAACTAGGCGTGACTGCAGTTACAGAGACACTCAGTGACCACCCACTGATGGGTTGGAGCAGTGAAGGAGGATTCCTCCCTCCACCCCTCAGGAAATTGTTTTTATGTATCTCTAAGACAAAAGATTTTTGCTTTCCTCAGGATAGTGTACATAAACTTTCAGTCCTCAAATTAAAATAGGTTGGTTAAGTCATGAGCTCAGAACATGGATTTTTTTTTTTTATCTTGCAATTTGCTGCTTTCCTTATTGATAGCAGTGAAATGAATGCCGTGTACTGTATGTGACATGCAATTCTATTGCATTTTAATTAAAAAGAGAAGAACAGAAAAGTTTTCAGAAAACCTGAGAACCCCCTGTTTAAGGTTGTGATCAGCCTTGGTTGAATTTCACCGAGTTCCAGATTGTTCTGGTTCTTATGCAGTCTTGTCTTCAACATTTAGCATTCAAAAGTATTCTGTGCACAAGGTCTTACAAGGTGTATGTTGTTACAACTTGCACTGTGAAAGTGGTAGATTAAATTAAATAACACAAAGCACTTAGATTTAGAGTAGTTAATCTTTCATATAACAGTTCAACACAGGCTTTTGCCATCAGCAGATTGTGCTATTTAGCACCTTACAGAGGATGGAGCAGCAGAGTCAGGTGATTGTGAGGCCTAAGTATTAATAAATTAGAGTTTTGAATTAATTTAGATTTTTCTTCCATGCCTTTAGGTGAGGTTGTTGAGAACATGAGTAAAAGCTGGTGCCTTAACTGACAAAACTGCACATCAAGCTTCTATTAAGGTTGTGTAGAATAATCATATTTGCCATTTCATTTATGCAACAAAGTTACACATGGTGTGGTGCTAAGGAAGTTGTGTATCGTTGAAGTATTGGGTAGAATTCTTAGAGGAAGAAAATCTAATGTAGGTAAAGTCTTACACCTTTTTGTGCAATAGTGATTTTTAACCCCTTTGAGTACCTTTTCCCCCTCTTTTTCTGTGTTCTCTTTGGGACAAGAGCAGTGGGATGTGTGGTTGTGGGTTGTTTAGGTGTGACAAAATCACAATAAACATGGAGACGAGAGCAAGCCATTTACAGTGGATGTTCTTGGTAGACCTTAATCCTCCTCAGAACTCTCTTGCAGTTTGCAAGGAGAATCCTCCTTCTCTCAGAGTGAAATGCTAGTCAAACTGTCTTGTTTCCTGCTGCATTTATTCCATATATTTATGCTCATAGGACACAGATCTTTCTATTTCAAGCAGGTAGAGGAGGCCTCTAGGCTGTTTAAGATGGTTTAAGATACCATGCTTCATCCAATTTTTTAATTGACACCACTTGGGATATTAAGAGATTTTAATGAGAGGCAAGTACATAGTCCTCCTAAAAGGAAGGTTTTTTCATTTCTCATGTACACAGGGATAATAAAAAAGCAAGCAGGAATAAGGTCAACTTTAGAATTCTTGTTCGTATTTTTTGACATTATTCCTTAAGTTTTCCAGCTTTCATAAAAAGAAGTGTTGGATTGGATCCAAGAAGCATATGCAGTTCACTTTAATTCAATATTGTACACTCATTCATGTACTAATGCAGCTTTACAGCATTATCTTAAGTACAAATCCTGGCTGATGCAGCATTTCATGTTGGTCGCTTTGTTTGACTGTTTGTGCAAGTACTGAATGTTCTCGACGCATATACAAACATTGCAACAGTGTGATCATCCCAAAGCTATTCCATGCAATTATAACAGTAAGATTTGCCATAAGGGAACAGCTCCATAAATTGATTCGAGTATAGTAAAATAGGTCTTAGGGATCTCAAATTTTGATACTTCCTTCTTTTATGCCATTTACCATCAAGCAGTAAGCAAAGTGGTTGTCTGATTTTCACTGCTGTTAGAAAATGAATAAATAGGGTTAGCTGAGATATTCACATCACTTGAATAGTTTCATGTCCTCTGTAGTTGTCTTTTAGATTGAACATAAAAGAATTTCAGTAGTTAGTCCAAGGCTACCCTTCATTTCTGTACAATACCTGCATCCAAGTGTAGTGGCTTGGATACAAAATTTTTTCCTTACTTCAGTGAGGATTCTGAGTCTGACTGGTTTGTCATCTGCTGGTTTACACTGGCTTCCATCAAGAGGGAGGGATGGAGTCCAAGTCTTGCTGTTGTGTCCTGGAATGGATTTAACACCCTCTGGATCCCACTGTGGTGCTCCAAGGCCAGCCTCCAGTGTTTCCAGTGACTGTCACCTTGCAAATTGCTGGACAATGTGTGTAAGAAAGACACAGGATTCCTTAGAAACACCTTGCAGAAGCTGAGATCAGTCACCCTTACTGCCTCATTTTAGGCTCCTTGCCCTGAGGCTCCTCAGTCCAGGGTTTCCTTACCAGCTGTAAAAATTGAGTATTGTGTAAAACTCACTCCTTCAGCACTGACCCTGAAAAAAGTCAAAGATGCAAGAGATGATCCAGACCCCTTTTTTCACCTCCATCATGGCTGAAGACAGAGCTGCCTGAGGAAAGTTGGTCCTCTCTGAGTGGAACTTCCTGACCCATCTGCAGTGATCCTGGCCAGAGCAGAAGCACTGTCATCATCACTCAGTAGCTGGATATCATGATTATCTAGGACGACCATCTCTGCTTCTGACTCTTCAGCTCAGATTCAAAATTGGATCTTGACATCAAGTTAACTTTCTTTTTGTTGTCTTTCTGTGATTGTACAGCAGACCACTTATTGGATTGATGAAAACTCTGCTAATGATAGGAAAAAACCGTACTCTCAGCTGCTGTTCTAACTAAGACTTTGCTGCTCAAAATATTTCACCATTCAGCTGTTGCAGTCCTGAGGACAGAGGAGTTGTAGCTGAAGACTGTAAAAGTATTTCATAAACTGCAGTGTCCTGAGTACTGCTGTGTATGTACATTTTGTTTATGTTCAGACTGTGGTTACCAGTTTCAAATAGGAATTACTCCATCATAGCTTCACATCACTTCCATTGAATGACATGAGGCTTAGAATAGGTGGTCAGAAAATTGAAAGAGGATAAGAATAAGAAAAAGGAAGTTTCACTCCAGCTGCATCAAGTGGCATATTAGAATAATGTTAGGTTCTTTTATTTTGTAGGCTCACTCTGATTTTCATGGTTTTTGTTTGAAACGTACAAAAGTGTTAACTTTTGAATAGTTAAATTGATGCTCGTTTATTACATTCTTTTGCCTAGTACAAAGCTGATTTTATTCACAGTCTATTCAAGCAAAGCCATCCAATAAAAGTCTTATGAGAGTTCACTAAATGTTTAATATAATCATCTATTAATTATTATTCATCTGGTTTCTTCACTTTCATAATGGTAGGCATTGTTGTATGGATTAGTGGGTGGGAAGATAGCTGCAGTATTGATTCTGGAAGTCTTGATTTAGAGATGAAGATTCATGTCATTTTTATTTTTCCTGAATTGCTCTAGCAGTGCTGTGTAAAAAGAAAGTCCAGAGCTGCTTTTCATCTCTCACAGTGTCTGTTTTCCAGTCCTGCTTTTCCATTTTGCTGAGTGTTAGATAGCCTTTCCTACCTGTTGGTAGAAATGCTCTCATTCCTGGAGAAAAATCCTTATTTGATTTTAATCCATTCTAGTAGCCTCAACCAACGTTGTTTCTCACCACACAGTTGTCAGTGTCATCAGGGAACAAAAGGAGAGTCATCTCTTGCTGAATTTGGACGACTGTCTTTTGTTTCTGCAGTACGAGGGCACCCGGCCATCGTTCAGTAATTTCTCCTGTGGACTCGTGTTTGTTTAGTCTGCTGAAGGAGTAAAATTAAAAGTTCTGTCTGTGCATGAAGGGCACTTAATTAGTGGTGGAGACTCACAACCTACTGGAGGAAGGCTCTGTGCCATCATCCCTGAAGGAGGACTCTGAAGCCAAGTTCTGCTTCATGTGTGACAGATCACGCAGCTGTTGGGTTGTGTCTGCTCCTCTGGTTTTGTTCAAACCATAAAAGAGCTTTGAGGGAAAACATCTGGGTAACTTGGATGCCTTGGATCCTCTAGATCCGTATCTTTCTGGATGTAAGCTTGAATAGAGAACAGAAATGGGATTAGTGATGTTTCAGAGAAAACAAAGATCTGTACAAGACTCAAGTGACTCAGCTGTATCTGGATGGCCCAACTGAACCCATCAAACAGATGAGCTGGGAAGAACTGAAGCTTCCAACAGTGGGCCATGTTCTCTCCTGTTTCCCTTTACTACCACAACACTTCCTCCTACTTTCCACATCCTTCTTGTGCCAACCTGTACCAAGCCCCAGTGTGTCTGTGTCGGGTGTTACCAACCCCTTTAAATTGAAATGGATGTCAGTGATGCTGCAGAGGTTTTGCTGTTGATGTAGTGAGGGACCAGGTCTGAAGCAGTGGGCATGGCAGTGGAAAACAGGCAATCCCAGAATAAAGCAGAGGTTTTTACTGTAGTCCATGTTCTGGATGTGTCCTGTATTCGTGAGGATGTTGCTATTTTGTTTAAATGTTTCTTGTAGGTGGAATTACATCAATAATAATTCAGCTATGATGTATAATTGCTTGTTTGTCTGTAAGAGTTAATGAGGAAAAGTCTTTTCACAGGTTGAGTATTTTATTCCATTAAAAAATTCAACTGACTATTTGAAATGAGGCTATAGTTACCAAATTAGACATGAGCAACTACCATTGGTAAAAATTGTTGAAAGTGCTCTTTCAGATTACTTCATTGGGGAAATTTTGAGGATGCCCCTTTTTACTGAAGTAGTGGAAGTAATTTCTATTTGTTATTATTTGTGTTTTTCATCCTGGAAAAACTACAAATTGTAAAATCAATATGGAATGAAGATGAAGACTAGAGTTAAGTAGAGGATAAAACCTGATTTTTAGTTAGTTTAGTCTGCACAGAGATAAACCATACACAAACCTTGGAGGGGTGCAGACCAGCAGGTTCTGTGCTGAATGGGACACAACCTTTTCATGTTGTCCACTGATTACAGTTTACTGGTTTGTAGGTGCTGTGCTCCTCTGTAAGACTGGGGTAGGCAACATTCTTGTGTTTTTTTGAATGAAAGCATACATTCAAACTAAATTTCAAAGCTGTCCTTATAAGTCTTTTATTATTTTTGTCGGGTTTTTTGACTCTATTGCTCAACTGTGGCGATAAATAATATTTCCTGTTCTGTAAGTAAGAGACTACAGGAATATTTTTGTCTCTTACAGATTCTCTTAAGCTTTTTAGAAATCCACCTTTCTGTAATTTTTGCAACTGGGACATGACATAGGAGAAATAAATACAGAAATACTATTTTCTGACCAAGGAAGATAGCTAAAAGGAAGAATGCCAAGTTCCCAAAGTGTCTATGAGCATGGTCACAATCTCTGTTAGAGAACTGCAGTGTCTGTATTCTTGATTTTTGTTGTGACTTGGATAAGACAGTGGTTTTCATCTTTTTTTAGAACTTAGGATACCATCTTTGAACAAGATAAAAACAATGGATTTTAAATACCAGTGACTGACATACCGAGTGCCATATTAGAGTTAAGACAAGAAATGCAAATACATAATCACAGAATCTTTCCTTTGGCAGAACAAAAGCCTGGCTTAAAATCTGTGCTGGCACTTAGTGATCAGTCCAGTCTTTGGCTTTCCAGTTTGAGCAGGGTTCTTGTAGGTGGTGATGAATGTACTGTTACAAGACATGGATCCTTGTTTGTTTTGAGTTCAGTGTCGACTCTGAGGTGATTCACCACCACCCATCTGATTCCAAGGAGGTTTGGTTGAGATGTGAGAGACTGCTTAGCCTGGTACAGGTTTGTCCCTTTAGCTCTTCACCTGCTCATTTTCCTTGTGTAGGCAGAAAAGTAGGGTACTGGGTAAGGAACATCTCTCTGAAGGGTTGTAATAAAGGAAGCTTCAGTTCCACAATAGAAATGTAATACTTTTTCTAAGCCCATCTGCTCTTAACTTCTATTTAAAGAAGTGAAATAATGCTTTAGGTACAAACAGTTGTTGCATTGTCTAGAGGAAGTTCTGTACCTTTGGCTCACCATCAGTGAGAAAAAAGCCTGTAAGAATTTTACAGCAGAAGCATTTTTGATGATGAATTAAAAAATTATCATTGATGTGTTTTGTAAATAAAAAAGTCTATGAAAAAATATTAATAGAATTTCCCATTTGCAGCTGCTGACCTTTTTTTTCCTCATAAATGATACTGCACTTGGAGAGTAGCAGTTAAGTCAGCGTTCCTAAGCAGTGTGTGATTTTAGGCACTGTGGTCAGTTCTTCTCCAGTGTCCCTGTGGGAACAGCTCTCTGCACAGGCTGTCCTGTCACCTGTCTACTTGGCCTCGAACTCTAAGTTTCTCTGGGACAGCAGATTGGACTGTGCTCTCCGGCCTGGGAGCTCAAACCTACCTTAAATTGGGACTGGTTTTGATTTCGGAATTGTTGTGTGAGCAGTGGTGTATGTGAAGGTATTTTGTTTCAACCTGTCATTGGATTTCAGGCAACAATGAGTCTTAGCTTCTTTCTCAATTCCTCTGTGACTTTAATTCTGTTAACTTTTAGTTGCATTTCAGCTGTCCCAGTTTTATGCAGTTGGCCTGAGAGACAACACAGTCCTGTTTAGAGCCACGTTGTTTCTGCTCCCAGATAGAGTTGCTAGATGGCATTTTTGTTTTGTCTGGTATGGTGCTATCATTAAGAGGGGCACGTGAGAGAGGATTTGAAGGTAGGGAAGCAGTATCAGAGCCATCTTCACCTATGATGGGAATGTGAAAGCAAGGTACAGAGGGCAGGAAGTGGCAGGCTTTTGTATCTGTGTTCTCCTGGAAGTAATGGAGCAGTAGGTGTTAGTTGAGTCCCTGCATGGCGCTGGTGCTAGGAAAGGGAGGAGAAAGTGGAAGAAGGAGCAGGTTGGTGCAGTGGGAGGAGATGTGCCTGATCTCTCCTAGGCCCTCTGTTCTCCTGCTGCTTCTGCACTGTTGGAATCCAGAACAACCTGGCTGTTGGCAGTGACATGAACGATCCCTGTATTGTATTGTTCTGAAGTTGCACTAGTTCGTGAGTCATCCTTTCTGAAATATCAGGTGTGATACTGTATTTCATGCAGCATATTACTTTCTCTAAATTAATAGAAAAGATTAGACTTTCAAATACACCAGGATATCTGGAGTACAGAATTACCCAATCTTTGAAGAATCAAAAGCCATGCACCAAAAACGTTACTTGTAAACCATTATTTTGATATGTTCTTCTGCAACACTGGTTTCTGATCCACTTTCTGTTAGCCATATATAAATAACATTGATTATAAAGTAATACTTGAGTAAAAAATAACTTTTTAATCTGTGTTTTTCTTTCAGGGCAATTAAAGCATTTCAGGAGGCGCTTTACGTTGATCCCAGCTTTTGTCGAGCCAAGGAAATTCATTTGCGACTTGGGCTTATGTTCAAAGTGAACACAGACTATGAGTCTAGTTTAAAGGTAGGTTTGAGTCCTTCCAAATCGAATTAACATTTCCTGCAAGTTGTGTTGCATCTTAAAACTGGAATACATAAGGACAGAGCAGTTAAACACCACCTGCTATAGAAATAGAAGTGCTTTGGTGTGAAGTGTCTCTAAACAGAATAAGGATCAGATCTGAGGTGTTTGAGGTGCTACATATACCCAGAAGAGTCCAGCAGTATTACCTATGAGCACTGATATTCCAGAAGACCAAAAATTCAGTGTGGTTAAATTAGTGAACTGCATGGGGAGACTGAGGATATACAGAAAGTTGAAGTAAGAAATAAAAGAATTAGCAGCTTGGATTACTTGATGATTTTTTTTTTAATTATTATTATTTTTATTTTTTGTTTCTGTTTTTTTCCCTGTTGTCAACTGGAAGTTCTTAAAATTAGGAAAATAGAAAATTTTCATGCAAAATAATGTTCTCATATTTTTATATCATTTTTGCTTTTCTAGTAGTTAATAATTCTTTTGTTTCCTGGTTTGAGAGTCAGTTTCTAAGGCAGTATTTTCTGGCTAATTAGTTGGATGTTATTTGTGGTAATACAGCACTTTGTTTCTTCTGTACTTCTTCAGATTTTTTACTGCTTACATTCTGGTTTGGTTTCTGATTATAATCTGTCATTTTATCTCCCTCCATTTAACAAATTTGCCCATTTTTTGCCTTCTTGGCCTCTAAATTTAGCTCTGTGTGTCTTGGAGAAATGAAGTGGTTTTTAACAGAGCTGCATATGCTAGGAAATAAACCTGCAGGGCTGAGAATTTTGTAATTAAGTGTAATTTATAACCATATTTCTGCATATTAATCTTTCCCAAAACCTACTGAAAGCATTACATTTTTTGATGTCAAGAATCTCGTGGCACCCTTTCTTGTTTTTCTGGAAGTGATATTTGCAAGGCCGTCAGAATCACGTTGTGCAAGGTTTGAAAGAGTAGAGTGCTTTTCTCAATTTTTCCTTCCAGTATTGGTGATAGTGGGAACTATTTCTCTCATCAGGCTTCCTTTTTCATCCAGAGTCCAAGGTTTCACCTGCAGAGACGGGTAGAGTTGGAAGTTGTGATAGTTGGAGAGGATGATTCTGCCCAGGAGTAGGAGAGATGATGTGCAGTGAATGGTGGAAGAGAGCATGGGGAGGCAGAGGTGGATCACTCTGTTGGGGAAGGGATTATGTGCGAGTTTGGGTGGTTCTACTGCCTTAAACTTAGGGATAGATTTAGTGTGTCCTGATGGGTAGGGAATAAAAGAAATGCTGAAGTACTTTTTGGTTTTATTTTTAAAGAAGTTGGGACAAAAGATTCAATTTTCAGGAAGGTAGTCATGTTTTAATCAAGTAGTAGAAGAAACTTCTGCATTTTAATTTTTTATACAAATTGATCAAGAAATAGATAACCTTTTCCTGTTGTGCCATAAAATTTGCAATTCTATCAGTGAATCAAGTATTTAAATAGATTCTATGATAATTCAATCTAAATAATTTACTGTGTTTGACGTTCACAACTTTGCAAAATAAATCAGTCCCTTATTACAAGGTTTTTGAGCATACCAAACTCAAATTTGCAAAGCACCAGCTACAAATAGGAAAAACACCAAAGTAGTATTTTGAAAATAGAAAAAAAAATTTTTAGTGCAAAATTATCATGATTCTGTTGCTTTTGTGTGGTTAAATCACAAAAACAAAATGCAGCAACAAAAGCAACTTACCCTGGGGTGGCAGAGGGACGGTCAGACCTTCAGTTTCTGGTTTGCTTCCTTTGCTGTGGAGGTTGCAATCCTTAGAAGAGAATAACAGGGAGGAACAAGAAAGAAAAGACTAAGTGGAGCAATCCACTCAGTCCTGAACAGATTCAGCTGTTTTCAGTTCAGCTCAACTGTGGATTTAAGGTAGAGTCTGGAGACTGATCTACTTTGAAAACAGGATATTACTGATTGAAACATACCAGTTTATACATCACGATATGTCCACTGAGGAGTCGACTGCAAGTAGAGCAAGCGGGGCAGTAGCTTCTTTAAAAGCCAGTCTGACTGAGATTAACAAAAAACACCTTGAGCCAGAGCTCTGAGTGACAAGAATATGAGAGGCAAGTCAGAAAATGCTTCCTTAGCGAAGAGAACGAAGCAAAGTCCTGGTGCAGTGGTTATGCACAAGCATGGGGAGAATAAAATGAGGAAGGCATATGGTGAAAGAGTGTGAAAGGATGTTTTCACACAATGTCTGTCACGTTCTCTGACTATCTCATCTTTTCACAAAAGAGAGATAAGTAACCCAAAGCAATGAAAAGACACGTTTGTCTTGTACCTTTTTTTTTTTGTTTTGTGGATCTTTTTAAAAGGATCCAGGATTTTAGAGGACAGTTATTGGGTTTTAGGGTCCAGACTGACAGTGACTGGCCTTGAGCAAAGACGCTTTCCTGGGGCTCTTTGCCCACTTTGAGCTCCCCGTTTACGCTGAGGCAGAAAGTGGAAGTAACTTTTTGTCTGGTATTCGCTTGTGACTGCTCAGGATTTCACAGATTGTACCAACGTTGCATTAATGTACTTTGAAATATCATAATGTTTTTGATGGTATTTAAACATTCATGTTAAGTCTGTAATTGCTAAGAATAAACCATTGCCAACAGATGAGTCATTGTCAGTAAGAGTCATTGTCAGTAAGAGTCTTCAGGCAAAGGGGGAAGATGGGAGTCTGAAGGTCATATATTCCATGTTTTTTTCAATTTTAGAGCATTAACATAAATCATCTTGTATTTTATGTAAGCAATTTAAGCACAAAATTAATTTTTACTATTTTAAGATGTTGATGATCAAGATAATTGCTAGAGTGCTGTTTAACAAGCATAAAATCAACTCCCAGTGTTTTTTCAAAATCAATTACTGCTTTTGCATGTTTTTAACATTGCTGCAGTTAAGACTTGCAAATTACTGTGAGAACCCTTGACTGCTCCGCTATCCCATTGCCATAAACTCTGGCAAGAACACCAGTGCTGTTGAAAATTACTTGGCCTTCGGGCTTACATTAAGGGAAAAAGAACAGTGTCCCTTCTGGTTGAGAAGAAAACAGTCCTTGTGTAACATGACAGCTGGGGCAGCGTTACCTTGAGAGGTGATACACCAAAGCTGAATTTGCCCCATTCATCAGAAAAGTGCAATTAATTCCAAAATCAACTGGCAGTGAGTTGGGGGATGGATTTTTTTTTTTTTTTTTAATTGATTACTGTGTCAGCAAGATGCTGTTCAGGTTTACCACGCAGTCCCAACCTTTTCACAGTTTGCTACATGTCCTGGTGACCCTTCCTGTTCACCGTATCCTACAAATGGCACCAGGAATGTTATGTTTAGTGGTGGTAGCTGTGGTGGCACCGTGATATCTGAGAGGACAGTGTAGAATTTGTACATAAGGGAAAAAAGAAATATTAGTTTGTTGTATCTGATGGAGTGATAACACTGAGGGAGTGGTGCAGGGGAGGGGGTTTCATTCTGGGAAATTCGTTCTGGGAGAAAAAGGTTGGAGATTTTTGGTGGTGGATTGTGTGGGGTTTTTTGTTGGATTTTGTTTGTTCTGTGGGTTTTTTTTTTTTTAATAGGTGGTCAGTAGGAATGCTGGACACGACCAGGTTATTTTGTGGCAAACCGAGAAATGGTTTGCCATGGGAATTTTATTTGGTTTTCACATGTTAAAGGTGCATCCTGTACCCGGTAACAAAACCCTTAAAAAAATGAGAACTAAATCTCTCATGTTTTCGATTATCTGCCTTTTAGTAGAAATAATGATTCTGCCTTTCAATTACAAAAATTTTTCTTCGTTTTTTATACACAAAACAGTTATTCCAGGAGATTGCTTCAGGCTTATGCTTTCATCTTGCCCGTAAATCATCAATTTAAATATAATTTAAATTTTTTAATTATTCTTCTTAAAGGTTCTCATTTGTTAGTAATGTTAAAACACGCTGCTTACATTAGGATAAGGAAAAGGCTGCAAAAGAATTAAAATTTATTGGGAAAATGTGCATGAATTGTATGCATATGCATGAAATACGAAGAAGTTAAATACTGATATACAGATGAACAGCTTGAAGTACTTATTTATAATCAGTCAGACACTTTTCCATCCCTTATTCAAATATTTCTCCTGTATATGTATCTTTATGAAAGATATTGTTAGCTACTGCAGCTATTGTATGCCCACATGTAGCTGTTGTAGACATATCATTCATTTTTTATGTACTTTTTCTGGGTAATAAGTAAGCAAATATTTATTAAAGTGAAAATTTGTGATTTCAAGCCTTCAAGTGCTGTTTCACCACCTAGTTATCTTCCATGTGGGCTTAGATTAGTAATTTTTAAGTGTAAACATTGGACATTGAAATCTTCTGTATTTATTTCTAGTTATTAAAGAAAAATTAACTAGTCTAAATGAATACACTTATGAGAAGTTTTAGTTGCATATGTCTAGTTTTATGCCTGTAATTCTACCAGAAACAGCTGCTCTTTTTTTAATGTAAAAAACAAAGTAAAGGGCTTCAGCTCTTGCAAGGTGGATATCCAAGATTTCACATGAAAAGCATTCTGTGGAAAGCAAGATGAAATGAGTCAAAAGATTATTTTAATTAAAATGTAAGTGGATGGAAAGCAGCATTTGGGAATGAAATTGCTCTCCAGGTCTTTGTAGTTTGCATGGGTGGGGGGAGGAAGAGACACAGGCAAGAAGTAAAACCATGCACGTTTTTTAATGTAACGTGGCCCTGTAGTCAAACTGCAGGAGAGTTATGAGTGTGACTGGTTTTGACAGTGGGTGTTGATATCACATTGCCTGACCTACAGACTGTTTTCTTTTGTTCACTCTTACCTGGTTTTGCTTGGGGTTTTGGCTGTCATGATAACGAGGAGGAGCAAGTGCTGAAGTTGAATTTATGTGCTACGTGACATCTTTGGTCATTTGGGAGGTGGGGAAGAACAAACCATGAGGAGATGAAATCAAGTTGATTCAGAAGCTGAGCATTCAAGTCCTAAGGAGTATTTTTGCTGGTGCACTTTATTCATGGACCTTCTTTCTCCTGGTGAGAGGTGTCTCAGTCCAGGCTGGTCCAGGTTTATGAGGTGTAACTCCAAGGTTGGCATTCAGGGCTTACAGTAATAGTTGTGTGGGCACAGCTTCCCGGCAGGGACTGAGCTTTCTGTGCAGCCTGGGCGGCTGTGGGGGCTGGAGGCAGAGTCCTGAGACGACCCCAGCTCCGGGCGGATCAGCTCCGCGGCGATGCCGGGGATGCAGCAGCGGTGGCAGACTTCCAGTCATCCCGTTTCCCTGTGGCATTTTGTTGCTGCTGGCAGCCTTTCAGGCTCCTAAAGCAGGAATAGCTAAATTCTGATGTTGCAGAAATAATGTATGAAACGTGCAGGCAGCGGTGAGCGTGGAGATGGCTTTGTGAAAATCGCTGTGTAAGATGCTGATCAGTAAATGCAGATGCAGCCTTCTTTTGGCCGGTGAAAACACAGCTTGTGGGATTGTTCTGCTTGAAAATATTGTTTCTCTTCGGGCTAGTCAGAATAAGAGATTTTTCAGAGCACAGTGCTGCTATTCAGTGTGCGTTGTATATGTGGCCTTTGTTTCCTCTGTCCTCAAGCAGCTTTGTTCTGCCCTGTCTGTGAAACAGTTTTCTCCCAGTCTTTTTTTTTTTTTGAATGTTGGACAAAAGTAACCGAGTGTTTACACTACACAAACCTTCATCTTATGAGCTGAATTCGTTCTGATCTCAGAAGGCACTGGAGAGCAGCACGATGAGCTGCTGCAGCAGCGCTATAGACGTGTCCTCTCCTGACCTTCTCCCCTGGTCCCAGAGATCCCTGGCAAATGGAGGCTTGGCTCGCTGCCCTGGCTGGTTATGCAAGGCTTTCCGTGTCCTACTTATCTGAACAAAGGCTGCTCTGAGGAACACGGGCATCACACCTAGGTCACATAGGCAGAAAAAGCCATCTCCTGACAGAATTTCACTGAGTCATGATGGAGCTTTGCTTCATGGTAAGTCGGTGAGAATTGTCAGGTTTCAGATGATGGCTTGCCTTGCTTGCTAAATAAATGCAGAACCGAGAGCTATTAGACTTGCTGATGTCATCCTGGAGAGGAGGAGGGAGTAGAATCACTGTTTTGAGGTCTCAGGTTTGGATGTAAACAGAGACAGTATTAAAATCTTGCACTGAGAAGAAAACAGTTCGTTTTTTGTTGATCATTTGTTGATTAAAGAAACAACGAAAACTTGGGCACTTGTCCCTTAAATTGCAAAGAATTGGTCTTAATTCTAGTAGTGATAACATGTTAATGTAACCTAAGTCGGTGTCAGATTACTGTTATTTTACTGCCAGACCTAATGCTTTCATCAGTTCTGTTTATATGGAATCCACTGTTCCTCTGATCCATGGAAAGGTTACCTGCAGAATCGTTTCCACAATCAGAGGCAAGTCAAGGACTGTAGATAACTGTGCAATTACAGATGGCTACAAATCAAGGTGATCCAGGACCTGATGATATTGAAAGGTCTTGTCTAGCCTGAGCCATTCGGTGATTGTGGCTGGAGTCGCAGCCCTTGAAAGAGAGGCTGTTGGTTTTTAACATTCAGAACGATGCCTTCTAGGTAAATCCTCTTACCCGGGATTTGAATTTCTATAGACTGCTGTCTGCCTTGAGGTATTGTGTGTCGTCTCTGAGCTGCAGCGGCCTCTCCTGCATAACAACTATTCCACACAGCAGCAGCAGCCTCAGTGCTGCAATATTTGAGAGAGGTGCAGATGTTTGCCAGCCGCTGCTGTTGGTTGCAGAAATGGAAGTTGGAAATTATTCCCTTTCTTTTTTATTTATTTTTTTTATTGTGATTAGTGGATCTGCTTTTGGCTGATGAGGTTGATGTGTTAAAATGCATGCATGGGTTTTGTTTTGGTTTTTTTTTGTCTGATTTGGAATACTTAACGGGGAGCTATGTATTATTTATCCGGCAAGAGGTGTAGGTTTGCTCATGTATGTGCATTTCAGAGGTTCTTGGTTTGAAAGGTTCTGGGGTTTCTGTGGATTGCTTTTAATTGTGGTAATTGTTTCGTGCAAATGGTGTATTTTTCTGTAGTTCCTGCTTTGGTTTATCAGTTTATTTACTGTTTGTAGCTCAGTGAACAGTCCTAGTAAAAATTTACTACACTTAAAAAATTTACAGGATGTGGATTTTAAAATACAGAACTCGGCGAATGCAGCAGTGGAAATTTAAATTTTTAGGAGGCATTGCTGAGAATATTCATGCTTTTTTTTTGTACTGTATGTCACTGATACTGTTGGCATATTTATATATTAAAATGGTTCCATTTTCTTATATGGTTGCCTGCCTTCTCTCAGTGAGTCTCTCTGCAATAACCCTCCTGAAAAGCTCCTACAAAACAGTTGTCAATTGTTTCTCTTTAGATCTGCTTATTTTTTATAATAGCATTGCTAGGTGAGAGCAGATCTGTTCCTTTCTGCTTTAGCTTCTCATAGTAATTGTAAGTGACAGTGCAAGATGACACATCTGTACCAGAAGGATTTTGTACCTTTTAGATCGAGAATACTCAGTGTACAGGCCAGAGTGTTTTTTTTCTTCTTCTTCTTTTGTCAGGTAAAATGCAATTTAAAATAGAGCATTTTATTTTTATTTAGTCCTTTTTTTTCTTTAAAGTTGCCTGCTTAGTAGAGTCACTATGGTAACAGACTAAAGGATGTCTCTGAGGCACTCAACCTGCATTGCAATGTAAGTGAGGGGAGACTGTAAGTTGTCTGTCTGCTGAACAGTAGAAAAAGGAACAGGCACAGCAGAGAAATAAGATAATACTTATAAACTATTATTTACTGCTTGCTCTAAGGTTAAAAAGTGACTTCACAAGTAAAACATATGTGAGTTCACCAGGTTTTGTGCTCGCTTCTGGGGATGACATTGATGAAATGTTCATTAAAAGTCATAAATTTGTGTTATCATTCTACTTGAGTTTGTTTTCTTCTTAAAGGCTATTATATATTGCTAATGATGGTGGAAGTCAGTGAGGAGTGAGCTGCATCAGTGTGTGCCTCACAGAGCTCATTAAAGCCATCAGCATTCTTTTTATACTGTGTTATGGACAATACATTAATTTTCTAATATTTTTTTCAGTTAAAATTAGGGCTTCTTAGATATTTGTTTGTCTGTTAAACTCTTACAAGTCTCTGAGATGTGTGTTACATAGACATGCTATACACAAGGTATTATTAGCACGTGAGGGAAGGTGGGTAGTATCTGGTAGCTCTGAGTGTGACAATACTGAAAGGGATTTGTATATACATTAATAAGGATTATGTTTTTCTTCCCAGCTGCACCAGGAAGCTCTTGATGCCACCTAGTTTGGCATCCTGAATAGTCAGACCTAAAATACCATTTTTGTGCTAGCAAAACAAAATATACTAAAGCATCAGTCATGTTTTGGGTATTAAAAGCCACCTGAAACTGCATTTTGCAGATAACTCTATTTATTAACAGCAGTTCTCTGTTGTTTTAATACATTAATCCAATTTCTACACCGTGTAGGGATTTTCTCTGAATTTTATGGAAGAGTTCAGAGGCGCTGGAGTTTCTGTGCCTGTTCCATTGGTTTTAACACACTTGTCTCTCAAACTGTGAATAGTGATCAGTGGATTAACATGACATTTGTGAAGTGATTGCTCCCATCCAGACAGATAGACTTCATTGCTCTGCTTTTGTGACCTTCTTTCTAGAAGAGTGCAATATTTGCCTCAGAACTTAGAGGCTTTACAATCTATAATGTTTAACTGAAGTTATCTTAATACCTGAAGAAGCAGATGTAAGAACTTAGGAACTCCTTCTGAACTCGTGTTTTATGATAAAGATATTTGTATTAAGTGCTTTTTGACAAGAGTTCAGTTTTTAAAGGCTTAAAATCACTGAATTTGAGGGAAGAGCGTTCTATTTTTTCTAGATAGACAAGTGGAGAGCTTTGCTATTTCTTTCCACGACAGACCATTCATTGGGTGCCATCGTTCTTCCAGGTGCTGTCCCAATGGTTTTGTGAAGATGACTGTTGCCATCTTACATCACTACAGGCATTGTTGTGGTTGCAATAAAAAAAAAATTTACTTTCCTCTGGTAAACAGTTGAACAGAAATTGAAAATGGTTTTCTTTTAAGACACGTGGTAAAATGCAGTATTGATTTTCAAGTACAAAATTGATTTACTTTGCCAAAGTGTGCTAGTGTTACTTTGTTTGAAAAAGCAAATAATTCTTTTTTTTTTTTCAGCATTTTCAGTTAGCTTTGATTGACTGCAATCCCTGCACTTTGTCTAACGCTGAAAGTAAGTAACCTATAAGTATTTCCATTTATTTTGGTGTGGATTTTTTTTTAAGTCTTATGCTTACAATTGCATCAATTTTTAATGAACCAATTCTTCAAAATCAAAAGAGGTACTGAAAGGCAAAAAAGGTACTGAGAAACGGAGACTACAGAACCTCTCTCCATCTATCAGTGGAGACAGATGTTCCAGTAGAATTGGGGATTGTTTTAGTAAATGGAATAAGTAAAACTTGAGGCTTAGCTTGCTCATTGCTCTGAAGGCTTGAATTCTGGAGGAAACGTACAATTTGACTGGTTTTTTATTTATTTATAAACACAGTGTTTGTGCCATGGCACACATTTAAGAGTTATTATTTAAAACTTTGTAGAATCTTGATGATTTGTCGATTTTCAGTGGTTGTTTTCATGCCATTTAAACTTATGGACCTAAAATTCAGCATCAGTCCTAAGCTGTAGAAATAAGAAAAAGTAATAAACTAATTTGATTTTTTATTTAGTTGCCAACCATATATTAGTCTGTACTTGAACATGTCAGTCTTCAGTGCAGTGTGATCTGTCATGTGCAGCATGTATTGCAGGCTGTTACAGAGCATCCTGCAGGTGTTTACCCATAGTCAGTGGAATTCTTATGCAAGGATAAGTGTATGTTCCTGCATGTTTTGGAGTCTGTAGGAATTTAAAGGCATAGAGTTGTGAAGGAAATTACTCCTTCAGTTTTTGAGGTACCTTCATGCTGTTGAGCTTAAGGTATCTCCTAAGTCTCCCTTCAGAAGCATTGGATAAAATATTTAAAAGCATTTCTCTTAGAAGTGGGTGGACTTCTGAATATTCTATCAGCAAGGGCATTGAAAGGGAGTTTGTTTACGTGGGTGAAACCACTGGCTCTATCAGCACTGAGGAGACAGCTGTGCTCCAAGGTCTTCTTCAAAGCTTTGTCTCACTTATCAGGAACAGGCACAGATAATTCTGTCAAAATTTGCAGAATCCTCCCTAAGTCAATAGGCTTTTATTGTTTTTCTACCAGACACGTGATTCTTTAATTACATTTCACGTTTTTTCCTATTGTTTCTCACTGAGTTTATCAGTTTTCACTGTATCTCTGAGTTTTTGTAAGGTTTTCCTAACCCTTCCCCCACAGCCCCACTGCCCCATGGCAACATTACTTGAGTGTGTTCCTTGCAGAAATTTTTGAGTATTAAGCATGTCTTCTTCCTACTTGGGCAATCTCTAATGTGATACCTTTAATTTCTTCCCCCTGCAAGGCCTGACTTTGCTTTGGAGTTTCACACTGAAAGGGTTTTGTTATGGGGGGAAAAAATAAAGAGAAATTTTTTTAGATGATGAACTCCTGAAACAAAAGCAGGGTTTTTTCTTTCATCAGTACAGAGTGAAGTTTGACGATGTGGTGAACATAATGGGTGTGTTATGTGTCCTTTAGCAAAGAGCACAAAAAGTTTATTAAAATTTTAGGTGATGCATTTCACTCTGACCTGGTTTCCAGAGTGCACCCGGCTTTCTTCTTTATAGTGAGGGACAAAGCAGTGCACAAAGGGAGATTTTCCCCTCCCTTATGACCCAGACAGAAACCCTGAAACGCCAAATTACCTGTACGGTAATTTGGTGTCACACTATTCTGTAGCTTCTAGGGAAGGGAATCTGAGTAATTGAAACAAATTGAGCTTGGCTCAAACACAGGTATTTCATTACTTGTAATGCTCAAGAACATCGGGCAGAAGTCTGTCTCGGAGGAACTTTTCTTTCCTCATCAAAACAGAATAAGGATTGCGTTCATCTCAATTAGCTTTAGCTCTCTCCCATTCCACGGCTGGTCTAGGGTAGCAGTTCTCAAGCCTTTTCTGTAATGATTTGAGCAGCATGAGGATAATTCTCCCTCTGGTTTTACTCCTAAACAACTTTCATTTTTCTTTCTCTAGCCAGCAATTTCCTTGCCTCCTAGAGATGCTGGTAATATTATGGCATTCTGTGCAATTTGTGTGAGGAATTGAAGGTGCTTAACAGTAACGATCAGAATATCATCTGTAATTAACACTTTGAGTTCAGTTTCACAGGGGAGAGACAATACCTGAAAAGGAGGAAAAAGAAATCTAAATTTAAGCTGGCAGTGTATGCCATAGTTTTCTGTTCCATATCCCAGACAGTCTGTCTCTCTGCAGTTGAATGAAAATCTTTATTTCTGAATCAGTTATGTACAGAAAATATTTACCTGTGTTCTCTTATTGTGCATCTCTGCCTAAAGAGATTTTATTGCTAAATTTATCGAAAGGTTAATGGACTCTGTGTTTCAGAATACAGATAAAATCCATGAGCTGCCTTTCTGCAATATCTCTGTACATTTTTCATGCTTTGTTAGGATACATGTTCATCCTCTGTCAGGTCTGATATATTAAATGTAAAATATTAATGTAAACAATATATATATTTTTTGTATCTTCAAAACGTAATTTGTCTGTTTTGCATCAATAAGTTTGAAATGTCGTTTAGTCCTCTCTTGAAAAAACATGTTGTTGTTGTTGATTAAAACTAATAATTTTGATTTTCCCACTCTTACAGTTCAGTTTCACATTGCCCACTTATATGAAATCCAGGTAAGCTTTAAGCTCATAGTTACAAAGTGTGGTTAGTTGAGTTTTGAACTATATGATGTAATTGGTCTCTGGAATTCAGATTGTAAATGCTTTAGTAAAGTTATACTTAAGTCTTGAATCACTAAAGAAACTTTATTTGCTTTGGCTAAAGTAAAAATATTTTGTATGTGGACTGTCATGCTGTTAAATGGAGCAACTATTTTAGTAAACATATTTACTGTTCTCCCAAATTAAGTGCAAAAAACAATCCCAAAATATAACTTTTAGGAAAATTCTCTTATGAAATTATATTCATATTTAAGAAGTTAGACATATGTATAACAATATGTAGTTTCTCAATTCTTAGATACTCATATTGTATCTTACATATACACATGCACACATAGATCCAATTCCAGACAGTTGCCCAGGTGCCTTTTAAGTACATTTGACATGAAATGTTCAAGTTCAGTTTTTCAATTTTCAAATTTAACTGAAGATATGTGACATTTGGAACCTGAGGTCAACAGTACATAAAGCTTATTAGTTCTGTATGAAATCCTACCATGAAATTTTCTAGGTGAATCCCTTGGGAAATTACAGAACTTTGCCTGAGCTTCCAGAACACAAGTAAATTAAAACCAAGTAGCTACTGAAATAGCTATTGTATATTTGTAATTTGACTGACTGGTTATATAATCTAGATTTTGTGCCCTTCTATCATGTTTATAGTTATCATATGACTGAGGAAGGGATGTGGCATGAAAACAAAACCAGTTGTAATCGAAATGGATGACAGACATAAACTGTATTTTCAGTCAGTTGGAAAGTAGCTTGATGAACTGTGTGCTGTCTTCTGATGGCACAGTGAAAAATGGCCTTAGGTATTTATATATAAATAAAAGATACAGATCTGACAAACAAAACGCTTTTCTTCTGAATGCTTTTGGTGAAAAGCTGCATGACAGGACAGAAATCTCCCGTCCCAAAGCACCATTTACCAACTTCTTGGAATGTTATGGTTCTTGTTTGGCCACCATCCAGATTTCATCCTGGGCGCTGGAGCACCTCTGACATGTTTATGTGACAGAGCATCCTCAGTGCATTAGTTCTGTTACTCTGGCAGATCAAAAGCAAGTGGAACACCTCAGGTCACCATCTCAGATGCCCTGAATAGTTGTGTGACCAGTGCTGGCAGTACTTAAACTGTGCTTTTTGACTGACAGCCACAGGCAGCAGGAACTTCATTTTACTGCAAGCCAGAACAAAAAAGTTTCGGTGGGTTCTGCTGTTAGATTTGTTTTGTCTCGAAGTTCTGTTGGGAGGGGTATCTTGTCTTCTTGAATTTGAGAAACTGAGAACCACAGGGGTCCTGACTTCTGAATATTACCTCTGACACAATGAAGGTTTTGGAGACAGGCTGGTTGCTTGGTTTCTTTTACAGGACACAATGAAACAAGGTTTTTTTAACTCCTCCATGTATTTGAAAATTACTTGCTCTCTGATATTGTAAAAGTTAATTAATTCCTTAATTAAGTACCACGATACTGGAGTTTAAATGATGGGTTGCCAGCCTCTGAACAAGAGATGAGCCTGGTGCTGATAAGAATTTGCAGTGGGTTTTCCTGGTGTTTAATGCCAATTTCTGTTATTTCATCTGTGGCAGTGAGGGAGCTTAGAGGGTGTCTAAAGAGAGATGTTGTGTTTGGTTCTCCTCCCCTTTTGCATTTCTAAGACCATTCATGATGCAGCCAAACATCGAGGACTTTAGATCTTTGGAATTAGGATATAGATATAAGGGAAAAGTTCTTCACTGGCAGGATGGTGAGGCACTGGAACAGGTTGCCCAGAGAAGCTGTGGCTGCCCCATCCCTGGAAGTGTTCAAGGCCAAGTTGGATGGGGCTCTGAGCAACCTGGTCTAGTGGAAGGTGTCCCTGCCCATGGCAGGGAAGTTGGAATTAGATGATCTTTAAGGTCCCTTCCAACCTAAACCATTCCAATTCTATGAAATACAAGCAAAAAATATTCTAGATCTGAAAAACGTGCTCTATCTTAATAGATACTTCTGAATCCTCCCAAGCATGTAAACATCTTTTTCAACATGTGAATATTAGGCACTGAGATTTACCTGTTTGACATCTGGATTGCTGCCTCTGCTCTCATGCTCTACAGTGAACTTCTGTTCATTTGCTTATTATCCTTCATAGTCATAAACTACAAATTTTTTTCCCAATGCTAAATTTAAAGTTTTTTCCTGATTGTTTTTCTTTTGCTGGACATGGATATTTTATTTATTTATATTATTTGTTTTCTTACCAGTTGTCTGCATTTCATGAACACCAATTAAAAATCTTTCCTACCAACTTCCCCTTGTTCCATTTGAAAGTATGTAATTGCTGCTTTAATTTTTCTTCCTGACTAGAATAAGGTTTTAAAATGGCCAGAGTTGTCTTTTGTAATTTTTGAGATTTCAAGAACCTAATAACATTTTTAATTTCTTCTATTAGGTATTTATATTGTGTAGAGTCCCTTTTAAAACAGCAGTACTCCTTACTGTGCACTCTGTGCTTAAAAAAAAACGTAACTAAGCCACAGTCATTTGCATTTAGGTGGCCCCATTTATTTTAATGTGCTCTTCATCTGTTTGCTGGATGAAGTGTAATGTTGAATTATCTGAAAGCGTATTTGTGGGAGAGGAGGAACAGAAGAACTGAACATTTAAAATACATTCACTGTTAAGCGATTATTGTTAGAAAATGCAAAGATAAATGCTGATATTATTACCAAATAATTCATCCGTTGAGAAGTCTTAGCCTTTAATATATACAAAATAGCTCATACTGTTCAGAGAAGTCGATAAAGATCCCAATCCTAACCTGGAAATGTGTTTTCTGTACCAGCACCTGTTTGTATAGGGAGTTATGAATTGAGTGTTTCCAGGCTCTAAGCACACTTAAACTATATAGTAGATAATAAAATGGCATACTTTCATTACCTAGGCATAATCCTTTTAATTTCACATGTGGTGGGACTCTTACCAGGACAACAAATATGTTGAAAGAGGCAGCTCAAATATACCAAAGGAAGGAAAGAGGCAGAATTATACCAGCCACGAGTCTTGGTTTCTGTCACAAATTTTCCGTGAGCAATTGGTGGAGGGTTTTCTCAGATGTACACTCACATTCAAGTATTCCCCTTAAAAGCAGAACATTCATTTTAGAGTAAAAAGCATAATGCATGTATGAGGAGTTGACTAAATTTAATAATTTTCAAATTTCTCTCAATTCTTTTTAGTATATTCTTAGTCAGTTTATAATAAATACTATATTTATGGAAGTTATTCTCCTATCCTATATATATGTCACTCATTAAAGCTTTCATATGCACTGTATGCAAAAAAAAAAAAAATCTAGAATTTTTTGTCAATGTGTTTGTGTGCTGTCAGTGCTGTGAAATCGTTGCTATTGGTGATCTGTTGTAAGCTCTATGATTAATCCATTTACTTTTTTCCTTTTGCAGAGAAAGTATCACTCTGCAAAGGAAGCTTATGAACAGCTTTTGCAGATCGAAAACCTTCCTGCACAAGTAAAAGCAACTGTCTTACAGCAGTTAGGTATGTAAAATTAACTTTTATTTTTCCTCTGTGTTTCGTTTTTCCATCTTTGCCTTCAGCAGTGTTGTTTAAGGCTCCCTTTCCAAACAAGCCTTAGACACACTGAGTACGATACGAGAGGTTTTTCCACCCAAAATAGAATATGTAACAGTAGATAATTAAGAAAATAAGAGAGGAGGAAAATATTTTAATTAAACTTAGAAAACTAAAAAGCTCCTAGACTTGCTGCAGAGTACGTGTGTTGCAGATTTTGGGCAATGAGGGGGTGGGTTTTCAGAGAAAGAGTGCAGCAGTTGGAATTGTGTGTTCTCTGTTCTGCCTCCAGTAACATCCCTTGAAAAGCCAGGCTAAATGCAGTAAACCAAAATGCCCTTCTCTGTTGCAGACTAGAAGAACGTGGCAACTGAAAAATTTACCTTTTCTTTTTCTCTAGTTATACTATGTAATGAAAACCTATTTGTGTAATTAAAAGGTTTATCATCATATTCCATAAAAGAAAACACATTTAAAAGTGAAAAGGAATTATTTTTTAAAAAAATTGTCGTTTTCCATTTTTATAGAAAGCTGCTAAATAATTTTTAGACTAGAATTTCTAGTGGGTGGGTAAAATAGAACACTTGTGTCCTATATACCTTATAAAATATTTCCAGAATATTTTTTTAAAATTATTCAACCAAGCGTGAAACTTCTTCATTCACCTTCTCCATGTTCTTCATCTAATTTATTATTCTAAATATTAATTTAGCCTGCTTATACCCATTTTTTTTGTTTGTTTTCCCACTTTACATAGTGGTCCTTTAACTTGAATTTGTAAATGGCACAAAGTTGTGGCCACAGTGCTTTCTTTTTTCTGTAATACAGGTTGTGTATGGATTTGGAGTGGGATAATTTGTCTTCTGTGACAAAATGTCAAAATCAGTGGGATAATTTTGAGTCATCTGTGTTTGAAACCAAAATGAAACTGTGGGAGGAGTTCTCTGCAGGACTCTTTGCTGCTCTTTTTGCTGTCACAGGACTGTGTTGCTTATATTTCAATAAGCCCTTTGAATTTATTTTTTTAGCTTGGTATTATGTCACCAAGCATAAATTGTCAGCAGTTCCATCCAGAAGGGCTGTACATCTGATCAGTGGAAGACAGGCTTCTCAAAAGAGCTGACCGGTTCTTTTTCAGCTCTGTTTGATGTATGTTGCCACAATAGAAGCAAAGGCACATGGTGTATTCATAAAACCCTGCCACAGGTCTCGGTGCGAGCAGTGAGAGCAGCGACTTTGAGAATTGTCTGCTGTCTGAAAACTGGATTAACTGTCTTTATTCAAGCAGCATAGGTCACCCAGTTCTGTTGTGTGGGTAGCTTCTCTGTGGAGAAAGGGATAGAGTGGTCTTAACCAGAACATTCAAGGAATAATGCCATTTCTTCTGCTCTTTTCTGTTAACAGTGGTATTTATCAGTGTGGTGTTTATCGCAGATTTAGTCTTTAGCAGCTGTGACTGTGGAGGAGAACCCTGTGATTCCCAGATAAACACACACCCAGTTGAGCTGATTCGTGCTGACTAGCTTAGGTAGACATAATAGTAAGATCTCTACAGTTGGATAAGAGCAGTCAGTTTGTTTCTTCTCTTTTTTGCTGTTCCATTTGCTTTCCGGACAACAATTCTCTTCACCACTTGGCCCAAAATTACATTAAATTAATGAGACTGAAGATCTAATCTGTCCCAGTATTCTTTCTCCAGTTTTACTCAGCTGTTGCATAAGAAAGAGTAACAACATCATAAGCATCTACTTAGAGATTCCCAAAGCACTCTTCCATTAATTTTTGGTTAGGGGCGTTCCTAGATGGTGTCCATGTAATTGGATGAGACATCATGAGGTGCTGGAATGGGGAAGAGCTTCATCTCCTCAGAGACAATGATGTTTACTGGGGAAAAGTGAGTGCCACAAGTTCAGCATGAGAGAGGCTGATAAGCATTAAAAAGGCCACTCTGCCATGAGCACATCAGAGGGATTTGTTCCAAATGAGGTTGTAAAGACCTGGAAAAGAGCACAGAACATTTGTGAAGTGTGGACAAAATCCGTGGGTTTGTTTATCGTATTAAAAATGTCCCCAGGAGTGGAAGAGTAATCAATACGCTGGTTAAGAATTGGGGTAAGGTCTTCCAAGTGGGAAACTGCACAGCTGTCCAGGGGTTTTCCATCACCACCTTTATGTATGTTCTTCACTTCATGCACAGGAAGAGCAGATGTAGTTTCCTTTACCCGTGCTATTCTAGTGGAAAACTTTTGTTCACCCTCCCTCTCTTGCTTTCTGCCTTTTTCACCTCCCTGCAGAGAAAGATAAATCTGGGAAGCAACCCTTGTTTCAGCAGTGAAACCAGATAGGGATTGCTGGTTCTCATTTCTGTCTCCTAGAAATAGATTTGTTCTTTTTATCAGTGAACCTCAGTAAAGATCTCCTGAAGATACAGCACGTTATCTTTCAATCCAGCAAGGTTCTGATGAAACAGAAAATAGGCACACAACATTTCCAGAGATACAGGAAATTGTTTAATGTCTTTTTTTGCCCTTGTTTGTAATCCCTGAACTATTATCTTCATCTCAGGCTTTGCCTGGCACTGCACCTGATACATATATCCTTAATGAACAGTTACACAGGTGAATTCTGATAACCAACCTCACATAAACCTTTTTTCTTAAAGCATGAGTATCTTCTGTTTTCTTAAGAACATCAGAGACTTGGGATTTGAATCGAAAGCTACCTTGTTTACTAAGTTCATGAGAGAAAGTTGTGTATGTTTTCTGTCTCTGCAAAAATCCGTGGGTTTTTTTACTTCCTTTCTTTGCCCTGATCTGTAGAGTTTTGACTTGATTGATTTTCAGTCAGGATAAAGTACTTTTTTTTCAGTACTGTAACCACTTGACTCCTAACCTGACATTTTTTGCAGTCCGTGAAATATTTGAACTTTTACTTGTGACCACAGTTTCCAGGTGATATTTCTTAAAACACCTCAGGCAGATGTTGTTCAGTAGATGTGATTTTATTTTTGATTGCCTTTGTTAAAGCTTGGAAGTTTGCAGAAATGTTGTGGTGTCTGTTAACAACTGTGAGCCCAAGGAATAAAAGCCAAACTGTATACAACAGGTGGAATAAAATACTTAAGGTATAGTCTAATTACAGAGAGTGAAGTAAAGCTACAACTGCTCTTCAGTTCTCAGTCTTACCTACTTTGTCTGGTGTTTCAGATGAGATCTGATCCTTTGGTATTACCTTGTAGTTAGACTTCATCAAAAAGCTTAGATAAGCTTAGGGTGCTGAAGTTTAGCTCACAGAGCTTTTAAATGGACGTACATTGTGGGTGTGTGTACAACTCTGTAGGTAATTAGACCTTTATTTTATGAAATTGGTATCACAGTGTCCCACAAGGGACCATTTATGGGTGGGACACTGTAAACACATAGGGAGAGTCCTTTGTCACATCCTACATTTTACAAGTGTTGGCTGAAAAGCAGTGGATTGTTCAGACAAATGCGTGGATATTGAGGGAACAGCCAGTCATTGCTGAGCACTGCAGTGATTTCAGCAAACCAGCTGCCTGCCACAGAGGATTTCCTTGTTTGTACTCATTATATGAGCAGCAGTGAGATGGTTTTGTGGCTGCTTGAAGGAATTCCATCTGAGCTTGGAGGCAGATGAGGAGCAGCTTGAGAAGATGATGAAGGTGCTTTATTTGGAATGGTAACCGAGCCTTGCGTCAGCGCCAGAGCGGAGATGTGTTTTAATTGCATGTAAAGTACAATTTGGGAGAATGGATTGTGGGAGGCCTTTAAAGTGGGCATGAATAACTTGTCTAATATAATGAAAGAAGAGAAGGCCTTTGAAAGAATATGATGTGTGGTTAGATGGATTTGTTACGTAGATGAGAGGTGATGGCATTTGTCAAGGTGAACAGGAAGGATGTTGTAGTAATGAAGATGAAATGACAGCATGAAGAAACATTGAAGTGAAGATGCAAAATTTCTTAGTACAAATGTAGATACAGGTCAAATGTGAGGATTTAGAAGAAAAGGAGTAAACACAATATGTAGATGTTATATGTGTATATATATTACATAATTGATATGTGTGACAGAATGGTGGTGGCATTTTTCAGTGTCTGGGTAGGTGACTGTGTTCAGAGGAGGAGAGAGTTAACATTTTCAGATTCACTTTTTGTGGTAGAAGATTGAGCAGTTCATAATTATGCTACTAACCTCATAGAAAATTATTTAAACAAAAAAATACCCTTTAACAGTACACTGAAGTGATTTTAACTTTATTACATCCTTTTTTAGGAAAGAACTTTTAAAGTTTTTAAAATTTCATTCATAGTGTTATATGTAAGTGATATTATTGTTTGGTATTCCTGTTTTTAAAGAGACAGTAATGCTATGAATATCCTGCTGTGCCAAAGTATTAAATGGTCTTGGGGAATTTCACTTCTACCATTTATGGATTCTTTTTGTAGGCTGGATGCATCACACCGTGGATCAGCTTGGAGACAAGGCAACCAAGGAAAGCTATGCTATACAGTATCTCCAGAAATCTCTAGAAGCAGATCCAAATTCTGGTCAATCCTGGTATTTCCTTGGAAGGTGAGAAAAGACTTTATAAACACTGTAACTAGATTTGTAAATTTTTTTGAGGATACTCATTACTGTGGGTAACTCACACTCTTCTTCTTCTTAATCCTTTCAGAGGAAAAGTGAAGTGAAAGGATATATGAATGTACTGAAGTCTACACTTCAGTAGAAGTACACTTTTCAGGGAAGTGTATAAAAAGACAAGGTGCTAACATATTTGGGATGAATATAGATTAGAAGTTGAAGTATGTTACACAAGCAGTCCTTCTTTTTTTTGTAGTTATTATTCAGTCTGCACATTTACAGTAATCTGAATATGCCCTGCCTGGTTTTACCTATTTCTCCTCCTCCTCCCACATCTTCTGTTCTCTCCCTCTTTTTTGTAAATGGTCACAGTTCTTTTGCTGTTTATTTTCTCAGAATGCCCCTCCCAATCTCAGTCAGTTTTTGCACTAAAATACAAGTATTTTCCTAGGTATACATCCACTTATAAAGTACATACACTGCAACTGCACATTAGGCCAAGATAGCTCAGACTAATCCATTCTAATTTCTATTTAAGTGTTCTGTAATTGTGTACTTTAAGACAGTATTTTTTACTTGAAAAATAACATACTCCCAGATGTAAGTCATATCTATTGAATGAGTTTTCTTGGTCTTCTTTTTAAGAAAATAAGAGTACTTTACACAAACAAGCTATAACTATTGAAATAATGAGGTTTTGGAGAAAGCTTTGAGGACAATTGAAGTGCATATGAGAACAGGTCAGTTCTCTTGAGAAATACAGCAGAAAAGAATGAGGCAAAAATAAAATTAATATCCCTGCCCCAGTATCTTCCAGGCAATGTTCTTGGAGACTCTGGTCACATACAACTGGAACTTATTTTTGGTTTTGTCATGCTAATTCTTCCAGCTGTTCTGTAGGACAGGGCTCTTCAGCCAGCTGTGTGCAGGCTGAGGGAGGAACACCGGGAACACCAGCACTGAGTTGAAAGGCAAAGGGCAGATGTGGAGGGAAAAGGGAAAATGAGCCAGGGATCAGCTGGCTCATCTGATCTTCCACTGGGCTGAAATCCTGTTTTTTAACTCAGTAGTCCCATTCCATGTGCCTTGAGTTGAGTTCTTAGGCAGCAGGGCAGAGCCAGGACTCCATGAACTCTGTGTGTGCAGCTGCTCTGCTCCAGCTCCTGCAGTGCCACAGCTTGGACATGGTCACAGTGAAACCCGGGACCCTGCAGACACGGGGTGGGCAAATGCTGGAAATGGGATGGAAAATTTAGTTGGAGCATCTCTTATACTCTGCAGGGAGGACTAGAACAAAAATGTTTCTGTGCACCATTTCTCTCCATTGCATATGGTGGCAGAAGAGCAAAGAAAGTTTTGTGGGGTCGTGCATTTACTCTTTTTTCCTTCCTCATGTATTCCCTTGTCTTATTCCTTCCTTCCTCTGCTGGTTGTCCAAACTGGACAGTAAGTTGGTTTAAATCTGCCTTCAAAAACATACCACCACCACCCTCCTCTCCACTGGAAAAACTCCATCACCCTAAGTTTTGTTGGGGGCCTCCTGTTAGAGCTGAGAGGCTTTATGTATCTGTTAAGCAGAGTGAACCATGTCTACTGGAAATTGGGTTAGACTGTGATTAAATGATCTTCTGAAACATTGTATTCAGACTTCATGGATGTTTTTTGGCAAAGTAATGCTGTGTTTTACTGTATTCCTTTCCTTGTGTGCCTCAAGAATACTTGAAAGAGTGTGGCATGTTTGACAAACCTTTGCCTGTACTGTTCTGCGTGGTTTTTATTTTCTACTGGAATAAATTTTCTGATGTTATTTATGTGTTTTGAAAGTTGTCAGTTCTTTTTACAACAGTGAAACTTGTTACAAACAATGTAAGGCTCAGCTGTTACAAATTAAACTAGTAAATGTATATATACAGATATTTGATCTTGGCTGTATTCGAAGCTTTTGATTTTAAAACAGTAGGTGTTATTCCCTATGGTATAATTGTAGTTCTCTGTAATGCCAGAATACCTTTGAACTTGTATGTGAAAAATATTAAAGTAAGAAATTATAAAAAAATTCAGAGTAGCACTATTTGGTGCTCTGTATGTACAGTACAAGTAAGTGGTTTTCATTATTTGAATATTATTGAGATGAAAGAAATGCACATAAAAAGCTTCCCAGGCAATCAGGAACCATCCTGGTTGAGTTGGTCAATATCTCCCAATAATTCTGTGTTGTAGAACATTAAGTTTTATAACCATTTGTTGGATGAAATAGGTAACTTAGTTGTTTCTTTATAATACTATCATCTGTAGATAAACATTGTTCTTATTGACTGATAAACCATCAATCAAGGGAAATAAATATAAGTCTTTCAAATATGATATGACTGTTTTCCTTACAAATGCAGTGATGTAGGGTTTAAGTAGTTTTGGTGTACTTCTCAGCTATATCATTAGTAATACATTTTAAGATGTTTTAGTCTGCTTATGTCTGGCATTCAGAAACAGCAAGTGATGAGTGTGTGTGTGTTTGCATGACTTGGCATTTATCAAATCAGTCTTGGTAAGCCATCCTCGATGATTACCTTCTATAAATATTACCAGAGTTCTTTTTTTTTTTTCTCCCAGGTGCTATTCAAGTATTGGGAAAGTTCAGGATGCCTTTATATCTTATAGGCAATCTATTGATAAATCAGAAGCAAGTGCAGATACATGGTGTTCTATAGGGTAAGAATGATACAGGATAATACAGTAATATTATTCCATGCTAATATATATATATAAATAAAGAATATCAGCTTTTTAACTATTTTGTGTGCTGAGAGACCGTAAAGTTTTTTGAATTTATACCTTCATGTTGTCAGACTTGTCTGATCTGAAGTTTAAATAATTAATTTATATTTGCTTTTTCAGTCCTTTAAAATACTGAACATGCCACGTATAGATGACCTTTGCACGTTAAAATTGTATGAGTTGTTTCTGTGGTTTATACGTTGCCAAAGTTTATTAAGGGTTTTTGGGGGGCAGAGGCGGGGAGGATGTATATATTTGAGTTATTTGTGTTTTGGCTTTGTTATTAATTCTCCACTTCACTAATCTTTCTATTCAGTGTGCTGTACCAACAGCAAAATCAGCCTATGGATGCTTTACAGGCCTATATCTGTGCTGTACAATTGGACCATGGCCATGCTGCAGCCTGGATGGACCTAGGCACACTCTATGAGTCCTGCAACCAGCCTCAGGATGCCATTAAATGCTACTTAAATGCAACTAGGAGCAAAAATTGTAGTAATACCTCTGCACTTGCAGCACGGATAAAGTATTTACAGGTAAAACTGATGTTTTTAAGAAGGGGGAAATAACTCTTCCAAATACACAGCAGAGGGGAGGGGAGAAGTAACACACAGGTTTTAACTTGAAATTGTTTGTGGTGTGAATAACCTGTTTTCATGTGTATTGTAAGCATATCATAGCCTGTAATATTTTATTTCTTCATTTTTTAAGTGGAACTTAATTCCTTACAAACCCTATTTTGCACATTTAATCAAAGCATACTGTTTTACATCACTTTGCTTTTTTTTCTTTGTATTGTCTACATTTTTAAGTTCTCATAACATATAGTGAGAATACGCACACACTATCTTTTCACTCTTGTTTGCAATTCCAGAAAAAAAAAGGAATTATGAGACCTCTGAATCCAGAGCTCATCTTTGTTCTGATTCTCACAAAGGTTTATATTCTGGTTACCCTCTTTATACTTAGCACCTTTCTGAAACCCGAAATTTTAAATCTATCCTCTCTTTAAGACATAATTAGCTACAGCATTTAGGAAGATTTCATGGACTTGCTCTTACTAAAGTAGGCTTGTGTTAAATTTGCTTTTTACATAATTTTTCCTAGGCTCAGTTGTGTAACCTTCCACAAGGTAGTCTACAGAATAAAACTAAATTACTTCCTAGTATTGAGGAGGCATGGAGCCTACCAATCCCCGCAGAGCTTACCTCCAGGCAGGGTGCCATGAACACAGCACAGCAGGTGAGAAGTTGGGTTATGTTCTGCAGGTGCCCAGCTTTAAGGGTTCTTTACAATCGGTAGTGGTCAAGCTTATTTTATTGAGCACAGGATTGGCTTTTATTTAAAAGAAAAAAAAAGGCCTTTGATTTATTTGCAAAGGGATATTAGATCAAGAAGCTCCCTGCAATGTGGGAGAAGTATGGGGGTACCAATTTAGAACCTTTGTGGATTTTCATGATTTTTAAAGATTTCATCTTAAATAGAAATGCTGCAGTGGTTTAATAATCCCGTGAAAGGTACACATTCCTCCATTGATGACCATATGGAAACTGATTTTTCAGTTACTGAGATCAGCTTCAGAATATCTACTCGGCCCTTTTAATACATGTGGGCTGTTAAAATTATAAAATTTAAAGGAAAGCATTAAGAATATATAGAACCATATTTTTGTCTTCCTTCTGTGATTCTTAGGCTTGTAAACCTCATCATCCAAATACTGAACCTGTACTAGGCCTCACTCAAACACCAATTTCACAGCAATCCTTGCCACTACACATGATTCCTTCTAGCCAAGTAGATGACCTGACCAGTCCTGCCAAGAGGAAAAGAACATCTAGTCCAACAAAGGTATATATTCCGATGAACTAGAGCCCCCTACCAAAATTATATGGAAATATGTATTCAAATGATGCAGCATGCACAGAATTTGTGCTGTAAAATTTTAATCCTTTGGCATCAAGGTGGGGAATGTTTTTAGAAATTTTAAAAAGGATTTTTCAGTGGTGTGTTTAATCAGATTCCAGCTCAGACATAAGGGCAGTGCAGGTCAGTGGCACTTAACTGCAGTCATAGCTGTGTAAGGGAAGAAGTACAATTGTAGTCTGATGGTGGAGAGGGAGACGATCATGTCATCCTGTCTATTGCCTTTGCTTATATTTAGAATTCAAGTGTTTCATCATCATGTAATAGTGTTACAGTAGATAAAGTATTCAGTTTTAAAAGTAGCATACATTTAAGTTAATTGCATAATTTGATTTGCTTGTTTCTCGTTATGATATTAGGTATCATTAACTTTTTCCTCAGACTACTCTGATACTGTTGGGAATGGTAGAATGAGACTTGGTGTATTTTAGTGTATTCTTTGTTTATGTTGATATTCTTGAAACAATGACTAGTTCTTTCATAAGCAAGATAAAATCTAGATAGTAAAAGAAATTAGGTGGACCCTTTGATAGTCACACATTTTAATGTAATGTTTTCTCTCAGAATACTTCAGATGTTTGGAGCAGTGGCCATACAGTGTCACATCCTCCTGTACAGCAACAAATTCATTCTTGGTGCTTGACACCACAGAAATTACAGGTAGGTGTGGAAGATCTTCAGAAGCTCTTGATATGTTTTTTGTTCCTTCCCTTCTTCCTTTTAAGAAAATACATCTGGGACATGTTTCAGTTTCACTTTTCTGAAATTCATTGTGAAGTACTTCCCAAATAATTCCCAGGGTGTAGTTCAAGTTGTTCTAATATTTATGGCTTCTCTAGGTGAGATTAGTTCTATAGTAAAATAATTGATCTCTAGCAGAAACTGAGCACTTACATTGTATGAATTCTATAATTTATAAGGTAAGAACATACAGCAGCTCTTTTTTCTTACAATGTTTTAAAGATAGATATGCAAATTGTCACACTTTTGTGCCAAGTGAGTTTCGTGAGTCGATGTAGTGTGGGGGATATTGAAAGAGGTGTAGATGTATTGTAATATAATCTTCTTTTCCTCTGAGGTAGCTTCTCGTATCAAACTGCATAAACAAACAACCACATTCTAGAGAATGCAATTACTCAAATGAAATCTGGTGCTGCTCTTCTGTCTTTATGTCAGCTAATACAGTTATATGAAGTGATAGATTTTAGTTTGGAAATCTTTTTCTGGTATTCTTTGTTATGATATTTTTTTGTCTCTTCAGTTCATTAGGGCATGCTGTGAGCTTCAGCAGGAAGCATATTTTGAAAATCAGGCCTAGCTGGGAACTTTTACGCATGTACTGCAGATACTGCTTTGCATGCAAAGAAAAATAGAAGGGAGCACAGTGCAGATGCAGACAAGGCATTCTGATTGACTGAGCAGTGTTCCCCTCAATTCCAATATAGTTCTTCAGCTGTTTCTCTGTCTGAACAATATTGGCTTTATTATACTGTATAATTTTCCCCTCCCTCTTCCTCCCACCTCCCTACCGCTTTGGTCCTTCCTCAGTCATTCTTCTGGATCTCTCTCTCTCTCCAAGCATTCTCATTATTTCTCTCTGCTTATTTTACATCCTGCTCCTTTTCCTCCTCTTCACTTCCACCTTTTTCCAGATCCAGCTAAGGAGAACCTAAGTAGGCTTCTCTATCTAAGTACACTTACTGGACTTGCTGGCAACAGCTTGACCAAGTTCCAGCATATATGAATAGCAAAGCCAAAAATAGATGGTAAAAGAGGAATGGGAATAAAACCTATATTATATCTTCTAAGTTGGCAGCTCAGAGGCTGGATAGATATGGCATGTTATATATACATATATAACATACATATATTTATGTCTTACTCATTGCAGTCCCTTCCAGAGGGACTTTAGAATGGAAGCTACTGTTAATCCAGGAATTTTGGCATGAACATCCTCTTTTTAAGTTATACCACTTAAAGCAGCAGACTTACTGGTAGAATGATGGGCTGCACTGGCTGCGCTGAGTAGTTTAAAATTAATAAAGAGATCAGATTTTTTTGGTAATAGATACTTAAATTTATCATCTGCAAACAAGATCAGTATTGTAACTTAAGATATCTCTCTCTGTAATTAGATTATGTAGTTTTCTGGGTTTGTTTTTTATATTTTCCAAAGAAATTTTCATGTGTGACTATAGGTTTAATTCACTTGGTGATGAACAGTATTAATAAAAGAATAGCACAGTACAAAAAGGTGCTAAAGTATATGTAATTATGATAAGAATTCCATATAATCATACTTGAATGTAGTTTTCTTTTTCAGTACCAGCACACTTAATTTTAGTGTGGTAAATAATAATTATATGCTCAAATAATTTACAGAGTCTCTGCAGTTTTAGTAACTGGTGTTAGGGTTTGGTTGCAGAACAGTGTATGGAAAGATGTTTCAGTCTGCAGCAGAAATCTCAAAATTGTTTTCAGCTTTACAAGTCTTGACTTCGTGGGTACATTTTTGTATTGTATGCAAGAAAGTTATTAAAAAGCCCATGCAATTTTAATGATTCTGAACCACACTGCTGTTTTTTTAGCACTTGGAACAGCTGCGTGCAAACCGAAATAATCTAAATCCAGCACAGAAACTTATGCTGGAACAGCTGGAGAGTCAGTTTGTCTTGATGCAGCAACACCAGCAGGTGAGAACAAAAATATTTTTTCTCTTTTACAAAACTTTTCTCAGTAATGGTGTCTGTTGCGTTTCTTGAATTCTGAAGAATTTCTGTTGTACAGAGTTCTCATGCCTTTTGCTGCATTAACAATAATTTATCTTGTTGTGTATGAAGTACAGTTGTCGATTAGTGGTGGAAATGTAATGGGTTTAGCTGTGTTTTATTATAGGGCTGCCAGATAATGTAAAAGTTTTCAAGCCACACTTTCCAGCTAAAGTGAGTGGACTCATCTAAAAGCAGTCTGACTTGAAAAATACGTAGTCGTAGTGAGCGGTATTGCAGCATCTCTCTCCTGCTGTCCTTGTTCGCTTCTGTCTCTCTCAGTGTCCAGTTTCAGCAGTAAAATACTCAAACTGAAGGGCCCAGAAGAAAAGTGTGCTGATAGTTTTACCTTAAAATTTACTCAGCACTTTCATGAGCATGACAGTTACCATGGTTCTAAAAAGCAGCCGTGAAGATGTGTAGAATTGGAATTGGAATTGGCCAGTGCAGTGAAGTACACAAACATTGCATGATCCTTGCTTTCTGAATTCTGCAGCCAACATTCTTGTGCTTTGTTCCTGTTCCGTTAGATGAGACAAACAGGAGTTGCACAGGTACGATCTACTGGAATTCCTAACGGGCCAACAGCTGATTCATCACTGCCTACAAACTCTGTCTCTGGTCAGCAGCCGCAGGTTGCTCTGACCAGAGTGCCTAACGTCGCTCAGCGTGGAATCCGTCCCGCCTGCCCCGGGCAGCCTATGGCTAATGGACCCTTTCCAGCAGGCCCCGTTCCCTGCAGCACAGCAAGAACGCTGGGTAGTACAGACACTATTTTGATAGGCAATAATCACATAACAGAAAGTGGAAGTAATGGAAACGTGCCTTACCTGCAGCGAAACGCACTCTCTCTACCTCATAACCGCACAAACCTGACCAGCAGCGCAGAGGAGCCGTGGAAAAACCAACTATCTAACTCCACTCAGGTACAGCTTCAGTTTGCTCATAGAGTGCTCTAAGGAGGCTTCAGGGGCAAGGCACTGCTTGAAGTCTCTCATTTGTAAATGCACATTTTTTAGAGTTGATGAGCTAGATGCAAATCATACACTAGGCTTTACATTACTTTTTATTGTTAGAAGTCTGTGTATTACATCAACTTCTTTCAGGATAAAGAAAATGATGATAAATCAAAGAGGGCAGTTCCATACTGCTCAGCTGCCTGCCTTTGCAGAAAACTTCCTTAAAAATGAATTCTTGTACGTCTTTTTGTTGCTTCTTTAATGTGAAACGTTGTGACTTTGTTTTTCATGTAGGAGGAATGTGTATATTTCATGGGGAGCTGAATGTCGTGGTTGTTTTTGACATTACGTTGTTGTCATGATGTAATCATTACCACATTTTGTTCCCGTGTGATTTTCAAAATTAATGTCTGGCATTCAGTACCACAGAGTTACTTGCAGAAAAATACTACAATGCCAGTAAAAATCCAGAGGGATTGAAGTGTGTGAGTAAGGGTGTTTTGTGTATATGTGTTAGA